ATTCATCAGTTCCAGAAATAATCTCCCAAGATAAACCATTGTCTATTTATAATTTGATAGTGTACAGTAGTAGAACATAAAACTCCAAAAAAGAAAAGCTCCAAAACTCATTTACTCCTAAATTTGCAGTGAACATAAGCCGGTCAAAGAAGTGCGGGGATTGGGTTGACTTCCCATTGTGCCCAAAGAAAAACTCGGGCAAAACGCACTGGATTTGGAAATTTATGTCCGTATAATCTGGTGTTACGTTTTCGCCGGTTTCGACTTTCGCCACCACTCCCAACAATGGACTGACGCGTTTCGGAGCTCTCAAGTTTGCAATTCCGCGTAACCTTTCTCATGTCGGCTTAAAAGCGTAACCTCATTCGATAATCCCCTTTCCGTAACGCGAATTTTCGTGATGAGTTAAGCTAAGGAAAGCGTGGAATGACGCCAGTCACTCAGGGATTCGTTCCTTTATCCGTATTTCGAGCAAGATTCGGTTCGCTGGTGCATAATTTTTCATCGATAGGACGTTCGGTTGGACGATGGATTAGTCAGCCTTGGCGGTCACAACATTAGAGTCAGATTCGAACGGCATTGCATTGACACTATTCGAGTTGTTTTGATTCTAGCCGTGCATGGTACGTGCGTAGGGTGGGCGTAGAGTATGTTCATTGGAGCATTCACACGGAAGAAGACTTGCTAGTATAGTGTCGCTTTCGGCTTGGTTTGTTTGTAAGAGTTTACTTACCAATTGAACAAGAAAAACTGGCATTATATGACTATCGTGAATTGTCTGCATTTATTAATGGACAGTGTCTAACAGTTTTATGCATCTTCGTTTATAGAAGACAAATGGGGCCTTAAATCATTTGTACCTAACAATAAAAAAGTAATTGAATTAAGTACATTTAACCTACATTGTATAATAGACTTAATTTAAGTGATTTTAGTTAATTAAGTGATTTATAATATTTTTTTAAGTTTCAAATGTGTCAACATACATACAATCAGCTCATTCTAATATTACCTACATATTTTACAACTAAAGTTGCTTAGTAAAGTATGTTTCTTTAATAATTAATGTTCTGCTTTTTATTTTATGCACTGGCTCTCCCTTGCTTGAACAGTGGCTGATTGATACAAAAGTTTCCTAGCGTTAAGTCTCCCATTGTATGTACCTACTTGTGTTTTGTGCAATACAATTATTATTATTAACCCATTTATTATGTCTAAAAATTACAATAAAAATAATATAACGGAATGAATAAGTAGTTGAAAAACCTTATAAATCATTAAAATAAGTTTCTAACTGACACATTTAGTTCAACATGTTTAGTCAGGGTTACATCTGTTTGCTAACTTTTATATTCTTTATTTAAAATAAAATCAATATCAACAACCTTCAAAATAAATCATTTGATAGGAAAATAAACATTCAGGTTCAATAGCTTTAGAACAAAACCAAATTCCACGAACTACAGACTAAATCGCAACCAACTATTTTATTGTTGTCGATTATCACAGCATCGACAACGAACGTTTTTAGAACTGTATTTTTTTTTATTCTACACAAGGCAGGTCCAATTAAGTCCAATAAGATCCTAATAGGTGAAAATAATAATAAATAACTTCTTTTCTTACCTAAATTTTTGTAAATGTATAATTATGAACCTTGTCAGACGTGTTAATAGAAGAATTAATAATGTCTGACTTGGGTTTTGTAATCACTACAATCCAGTAATTAATTTGATTCAATTTGGAATTTATGAGAAGCATTAATGACAGTATGACATTACTCAATAAAAGTGGCATATTATTTTGTAACGCAAACAATAACTTTTAATTACATTTTATAATTACTAGTAACTAGATACGTTTATTTCATTTATATTAATTAAGTTGATTAAGAACTCGTAAATGAAAATAGTTAAATAATTGACTTTGTTTTGGACATAAATCATTTGGTATTTCTGAAAATTTGGACTTGAGTGAAAGGCTTGAATGAACAACTTGCAGTTGGTTAAAAATACAGTGAGTGTAAATCAGTTTGGGAAAGGAGGAGTGGTTTAGTTTGGACACAAACAAAAAATGACCTTTACAGCCTTTGAGTAACGCTCTCGAGCTGACCTACCTTATCTCCTGGAATATTTTTTGCCGACATGGTGTCACCTTCCTATTCTATGGTCCGACGTCGTCTTGGGGACGATTTATCCAAAGAAAGGCTCTCGCTGTTGCCGTGACTGGCCAACATACGACACAAAACACTTCACTTCATCAATCACTTGGCCATCATCACTGATCGAGCGACGCATCAAAAACACAAACACAACGGCCGACCCATCTTTCGGAGTCGTAATCAGCACGATTTCCCATTGAGATTCATCGACACAGATAATTTTTCACAACACCATACACAAACACAGCGACTGACAGAAGCTAACTTGATTGAGCTCGCTTTGACGTAAAATGGCGAGGGATGGATGGTGTCCCTCCCGCCGCTCGCCCCGCGCATGCTATCTTGCTTGCAGCTGTAGAGGGCACTAGTGAACAATAACAAACAAGTTAGCAAATAGTTACTTGATATAGGCCTAGATGGCGCTTAAATTATTTATTTATTTATTTATTTATTTATTTATTTATTGATTTATTTATTTATATATTTATATTTATTTATTTATTTATATATTTATATATATTTATATATATTATTATATATTATATATTATATATTATATAATATATATATTATATATATAATATATATTATATATATATTATATATATTTATATATATTTATATATATATATATTATATTTATTTATATATTTATTTATATATTTATATTTATTTATATATATTTATATATATTTATTTATTATTTTATTTATATATTTATTTATTTATTATTAAGAAAGAAAGAAAAAATATTTGCGGTATTAAAGATATTATTACAATACAAATAGGTTATTTATAATGAATGAAATGAACAAATTAAAAGGAACGCGTGTTTTTCATATAAAATTATTTTAAGGGGCTATTTTTGATAAGTAAGTATGCGACATTGTTAAAATTTAATGTTAATGAGTTTATTTTTCTAACCTTTATGTCGTATACCGCCATCTATGAATACTTTCGGTAAACTTACTCAGATATCAGTGACAGTACTTCTAAATAAAAAGAAATTTTCAGATTATCAACATAAATCAATACTTCGCAAATAATTTTAAAGAAAGCTATACATCTTAATAAATATCATAGAATTTTGGTTACGTTATAAAAAAAATTTAAAAGTCTGTTGATTGGTATGTCACTTCCGACTAGTGAGGTTCATTAATTAATCGTTAATCGTTTCAATAAATCAATTGAATCAATACTATTGCAAGTTTTTACCTATTTTAAGAAAATTGTCAATTACTTTGTCATGATCATAAAAAGAAACTAATTTTATTTTAGCTTGGTGGGATTTGCAAATCTTGTAAAAATTCGTAACGTGAGTATGACAAAGTTTATTATGTCATCAGTAGTCATCATACTCATCATTCAAAAGGCCATAGCCATTCTAACTAGGTACTGTACTAAATTACTCAACTAATTCAAACAAGGCATGTAGGGATACATGGGTTTCCCGAAGCTTTACAATGCTAAGGCCTAAGGCTGTTATGATACGGAGTATATTCAGATCAGGGCTCCGATTGCGCTAATTTGTAATGTCTCCAATTCATTCGCGTTTTATCTCTAGACCACCATTTACGCTCCATTTATATTCCAGCTGACGTGCAATTTAAGTTCACGCGTAAAAAAAGGATTTATGCACTTTATATTAAAATTCCGAACACCTTAGTTTTTAAACTAAAATTACTAAAACACAGCAAATATTCATGAACCGTTTGACTTGCGTATGAGAAAAAGTAGCATTCTGTTTGTTTTTACTCAGAGGCGCAGTCGCATTCCATTTGCGTTACAGCTTCATTTGAACTAGCTGTCAAAACTTACCGCGATACGATACCGATACGGATTTGTCAAAACAGCGTTCGTACGCCGTTCAGTCACACACATTTAGAGATGGGTTTCCACCCGGGTAAAAACCCACATGAGGGTAAAAACCCAATAAAAACCGTTTCATTCCACCCGTGGGTGTTTACACCGGGTGAAAACAAATAATTTTATAATTGTTTCAATTGGTATCTTTTCTTTATTTTTATTGAATATTTCTCATTTAAGTTTATTGATTAATAAGTAATAAGTCAAATTTAACACTAATATGCATTTATATCGTGGCCAAATCGTAAAATTGATCACGTTATGATGATGTGACCAATTATTTTATAAAATGGTGTTATTTCAAGAATCGTTGAACCGATTTAGAAGAAATTTAGTAGGAACACAATAATTTGTGATCATGGCAAGGACATGGAAGGGGGGATGCCAAAGATGCCAAACTCTCTCTTTGATGACATTACGGTATAAAGTTACAAATAACAACACCAACTACAAAGTACTTCTGCTTAAAAACTTGAAATCGAACCGCCCTTCCGCCACTGTAACGCATTGTAACGTTTTTCAAGACCTCCTCTCCCCCCAGATTGCATTACGTAACACTAGAACGCCCCCTTAGCAACAAATACCACTTCTCACTTTAAAAAAACACTATTTTTGTTTTCACCCACCAGAATGGGTGATAATGGGTAAAAACCGGGTTTTTACCCAAATCACCCAGTTTTAACCCAATCGGGTGAAATGGGTTTTTACCCACTACCCATCTCTACACACATTGCAGTTGAAAATTTTTAGCGCAATCGGGGCTCCCGGCAAATAACCTCGCTCCTCCATCATTGGTTTTATCTATTCTCATACATAAAAAAGTGTTGATATAACTGCAGAGCTGCTTTAAATATGTGAGATACAAATATTATGTTTTATTTTATTCACTAATGGCTGATTTTTCAATCGTCGGATATAATTCGATTCCAGAGAAATTGAACTTATTTGTTTCATCCGCACATCCCTTACTTCCGGCTCTTTCTGTCAATGTCAAACTGCGCGTCGGTCTTCTTCGACGGCTGCGTCTTGCGTGCGAGATTATTTTAGATTTCGCAAAATGGCGGACGGAGGCGTGGATATAGATCTCTACGCCGATGATATTGAATCGGATTTCAACAGACAGGTATGCTAGTAAAATTTTTGTCGGCCTTATTTTATTTACTCATAACCTCCTATTAAAATTACTGTTTATCAGCCTTTTTGCGTGTTAACGAGAGTCATTGTCCGGCATTTTCAGGACGAATTTGGAGGTGAAAATGTGGATCTTTACGACGATGTGATCGCGGCGCCTGCAGCGAAGCCAGAAGACGGAGATGGACCGCCGAACTCCTCGGCGCAGCAGCACTCGCACCCGCCAGAGGAGACCAACGGCAACGCATCGTACCACAACAACGCTTCCAACCACGGACATCATGGCCGCCGCTGTCAGCTCTACGTCGGCAACCTAACTTGGGTTTGTACAAGATTTTGTCTCATTTAGTTTCTAATGTAAATATAGGAATGAGCTATTTATTGTTTCTACGCCTGTTTATGCCTGGGATAGGGCGAAACAAATGTTTCTCATCTCTGTGCGGCTGTGGTATGATAACACTGGTTTTGTTGAATATTGTGTCTATCTTTATACCGTTTGTCAAGTACATAATTGATTAGACTATGAATAATATTACCTGTTTTCTGTCTCTAATTGTTACATATGGATTTTGTATGAACTACTATGTTACTCAAGATAATTACATGCATTCTCATGCAATAACATCCAATTATATTATGAAGTGTTTTGGCCTGTACAAACTTCAAGCTGTGTGGATTAACATTACCGTTACTTTTCTTGAGATTGTACAGGCTGAGGCTTGGCTAATTAATGTAAAAATCTATTAATATTTATTTGATGATATGCCTATTGTAGTATCAAAATTATAATATCTATCTTAGTATGTTGTCCAGTCTATGCATACTATTATTACTTATTTATTTTCTGGTTGCAGTCATACTGTTTGCTAACATGTTTTTGTAAAAGAAATTCTTAATGTACCTAATCTGTACATCCAAATAACTCATTAAGGATAAGGAAGTTAATTAATGCGGGAGCTGCCGTTTTCCATGTCTATTAATACCACTTTGTATTGTTTAAACATGAGTTTATAATCGTTTGTTTAAAATACCTATAATCGTTAGGAAATTTGTTTTACAAGGCCAAAACCAAGTGTTAAATAGACCACAGTTATTTCAGTATAGTGATCAATATTTAATATTTTCCAATTGAAACCTTAGTTTGTCACATAATTATTACAAATGAAATTACTTAATTTTAAAAAACATATAATTTGGTCACTTAACTGAAAACTCAATGTGCTACTATGTATAATAGTCTAAAGTAATTGTTGCTCAATGTTATTTACCCCTTATACATATTAGCATGTTTTCAGAGAAACATTTGTTTATGTTAATATTATCAAAACAATGCCACTATGCATCAAACAAAACTGTCATTTCTCCAGGTTCTAAATTGGTTCTTTACTAAATAATAATAGCTGCATATTTGATTGTTTGATATGGCATACTACTCCGTTTAAACAAAGTTCACGCTAGCTCATTTAATTTTAAACGAAGGTATGTCTAACATATGAAAGTGCTATATCAAGAGGTGCATCTGAGCAAAAACAAGACTTGTTTGTTCTATTAATACTTTGGTAAAATTCTTGGCATGATATCGATCATGATACCAATATACTAGAACTATGTGTGAGTTTAGTTGTTACATAAAAACTTGTTTTTGCTTTTAAAAGATGGATTAAAAGTTCCATCGCACAGATTTATATCACCATATTGATTTATCTGTGTGATCGCTTTATTCTCATTTACAAACAAATCAGATGGTTATTTGTTCAAATAAACTTTGATTTGACTTGTTTACTTCTACAATTTTGTAGAATAAACTTGTAATTTTAATATCATGTTATGTTTCCAATATTTTTATTTTTGACTTTTATTTTAAATATTATAAAGAGATATTTACAGTTTTTATTCACAATAGCTTAATGTTTTTGTATCAAAGTATTGATTGTCACCTGCCTTTAGTTCTTAGCAATAGAAAACTCACATAAAATACATAAGTAATTTATTGAAATGTTCCTCCAAGTTTTGTTGTTTAAATATAAAAGAACGTCATTGTTATTGGAAATTCAATCCGACATGATAGAGCACCCAAAGAAAAGTGTACAAAATTGTAGTTTAGTGACATCTAACTGTATTATTCTGCATTTGCGTACTAAAAACGTCTGATTGAAATAATTTTGCTTAGATATAGGTTGAAATTATAATGTTTAGAGCATGTAAGTATAATAGATAATATTTAGTTGTATTTATATTATGGCATAACATGGTTGATGCCAAACAATTCAACAACTGTAAATATCTCTTTTTACATTTGGATATCCTGTGTCCTGTAACTCTGACTTAAGTTGGTGTTTCATGTTGATGACAGAGGGATGGTGTGAGATTGGAATGAGTGGTGGAGTGCACGGTAGTTCCATAATAATATGTATTTATTTACGAGTTATACGTCACATGCATACAAGTTAACTACACTTCTTGGTTTTGCTTAACCATCCAATACACATTGTCTAGCACTGGAACCCAAACTTTAGACATGTGATTTTGTATGTGTTCACATATTATATTTAACACAAATGTTTTCTAAGGTTGCGTCATATCTTGAATATTCAATATTTTTTATTGTCTTGTTTATGGCTTTAGTGGATATAAATTAATATAGTGATATTACCACATTTTGTAGGCTAAATTATTAGATTAGCGGGCATCAAAAAAACATGTCTATGTTGATGATTTTGACTTCATTTACGAGTAGACAATATTTGGCTGGATATTGCTTTTTATGAAATATAATAAAAACTAGAATATTGGGTTATTTTGTCAAAATAATTAAGGTGATTACCCAAAATTCTGGTTTGACACATCTGTATTTTTAACCATTGTCTTTCCTTATCAGGTTTTACACGGAGGTAAGATGTTTATTGCTTGTTCTATGTAGCTGTGCCCTTTATTTTTAACTAATTGTGCAGTTTTTCATGAAAAATACAAATATCGGTTTGAGGTGTGTGTACACCACAGCATTCTAAAGTTATTTTAGGTCGGTCCAATGTAATAGTTTTTATAATTTATTGTGTCAAACTGTTTCTTACTGATGTTGACAAATATCTTGATGTTTTTGTTTTTCTTGGCGACCAATGTGTTGAATGATGTTATCATGATCTTTGCTTTCATAGCAATGTATGGTCTTTTCTTGTGTATCAGCAACAATAGTAAGTTTTTCGGTGTGTACCTAACATATTATTTGGTAATATTTTATCACCCGGTTAGTACCAATTTATTAAATTTTATCAGATGTTATTATTATGACCTAAATGGACAACCGCGAAAATAGAAATCTACACGAATATTTTTGTGATAGTATTTTGACGATTAATCGATTCCGCTTGTTTATTGTTAATTAAAAATTAAAGTATACTGATGACAAGTCCTACAAGGGACTACTGGCGAATGGTAATTAGCGTATCATAATATAACGACTCATGTTAACAAATTATAATGTACCTAATTTAAACACCGCATTGTATAAGTTTTAAACGATAACATAATTAAAAAATAGTACTAATATCAGTCTGGATTAAATTACATAATGTAATTATTTTCACTGGGACCGCAATGCTTTATTCTTGGGATTCATGTTATTAATTCATATTTATTATTAATAGTCATAATAAAACCTGTAAAATATTTTTAAGATATTAGGGTCCTGTACATTATTCTCTTCCTTCTTACCAAAGGATCATTCCTGATTTAGTTGTAGCAGTTTTGCAAACTGCACTAAATTGCTAATTTGTAGCATTCAATAATTAATTTATCAATTACGAAAAAAATCTGTGATATTTGATATCTGTGATAAATACTGATGATAACAATGAAATAAAAGGATGGTTTAAAAACATACTGTTTCCTTTTTTCCCAACGTATCCTGTTGCGGACTCGAAAGTAGCTTTCGCGAATAACACTTTTTTTCAAGACATTAGCCATTCGGTTTTAGGCAGTTTTTCAGTTTACGTTAGAATCTTCGATACGCTTACGAATCTTACTAACTTGAGGGATAGGTCGACGACGGGTCGCGTCGCAGCGTTGAGTAGGGTACATTCTGTTCAGAGTTAGAGGCGCGATATTGAGTGAGGTATTTTGGATACACTCGAATGACTAACAGGTGATGCCGCCAAGTATGTATTTTATATTACACTTTAATTCAGCCGTGTTTTTCTTTTAGTTGAGTTGTCGGTCACCTTTTTCAGTGGGCCACGGATCAAGATATAGCTAACGCCGTCGCTGATATCGGCGTGACGGATTTTCAAGACGTGAAGTTCTTCGAGAATAGGGCCAATGGACAGTCCAAAGGGTTCTGCGTCATATCCCTGGGCTCTGAGCCCTCCATCCGGATGGTCATAGACCGTCTGCCGAAGAAGGAAATCCACGGACAACATCCCGTTGTCACTTTGCCAACTAAACAGGTAATTTTCCTACCCTTGATAATCCTAAGTTAGGTCCAGTAGTTAGTACCTACATTATATTTTTCTAACTTTTAGGACACATTCATGAACGCAGTATTGGTTGATACAGTATAATTACAAGAGCTCTCAGAACATGCTACCGAGTTAAAAGTAGGTTTTAGGTTTTGAATCGAATGAAAACAAAATATCGAAATAATTCACCGAGATTTTCTCACCCTATAATATGCCTACTCCGTTGAAATCATTACACGGGTTTTACTAGGTAAACTTAGATTTTTAATCGCAAATAAGGGTAAGATAGATTCTAATGAACATTAACAAAAGTACTGAATTAGTACTGATATTTTCTAGAATAGAGCTTGAATAACTCGATTGGTAAACATATCCAGTAGCTTATTTATGAGAATATCATCACAATTTCCTGAATAAAACCAGTTAGGTGGTCACCGCTATAAGATTTCACAATTTACTAATTAGCACTAATTGTTATTTATTAGTGATGACGCTAATCAGTAATGCAATGTTATTAGACGCTGTTGCTGTTCAATAATTTACTAAAAACGTCATTCTTAAGCATAAAAGAAATTACCTAATTTAGGGAAAAGCATTTTTGTCGAAATCGGCATGTTCAGTGTTTGTATATTTACTTGAGGCAAGAAGTGAGAGGATTTTTTTCCCAGGACCTAACTTCTGAGAGCTTGTGACATGGTCCATATTGTCCTAGAGTACACTGGAATAGGTAAAACACCGGGAATCTTGCATTTTCGTAAAACACACGGGGTTATGGCCCTCGTGGCCTCACCCCCTTCTAACCGTGCCTGTATCTAACGGAGTTTGCAAGAGTAGGTACCCATGAACGTTATTCAACGCCTTTTAAAGAGACGTATATTTAGACAGATTCGAAAGCTGTAGAGATATATAACGTCTAGTAATTTCATATCGTAGAGACAAATGGAAATAATACACGCATTAAAGTTACACCCTCAATACATAAACACTCAAAGAAATCAATATTTTGACGTGACTCCGGAAATTGAATACGTCTAATGTTTCACAGGCACTCAACCAATTTGAGAGTCAGTCGAAGACTCGCTCCACCCCGCCGGGGCCCAACAACCCGGGCATGAGGGGGCCCCACCCCGGGGGGCCACCCGGACCGCACCCTGGAGGTAAATATATCGTCTACTTGAACTCATGACCCTGTTTCCATGTACAAAAATATTAGTCTATCATGGCCTTATTACATAAAAGACATTTCCATATTAGATGCAATTTAAAATATGTAGAGTTTAACAACAGTTTAACTTTTTGTAATAAGGGGTCAGATTCTGATGTCATAGTTTCAAGACTAAACAAGTAGGTATACAAGAAGAGCAGACATATTTAAAATCTCTGCTAACAATAATAAAGAACCGCGTTAACCGAGGTCTTTGGCGATATCAGTTAAGTTTGTTATGCATTATGAGCATTAAAATAATATTAGAAAAAATACACGTTAGTCGTCACATAACCTTTCTTGTCGTCTAGACTTCTTCGGAGGCGGGCCCAACGGTCCCGGGCCTAACGGGCCCCGCATGATGATGCCAGGGCCGGGCCCGCACCACCAGCTGCGCGGGCCGCCGCCGGGGCCCCCGCACGGGCCGCCGCACCACATGCAGCAGCACCAGGGGCCCCCGCCGCATCATATGCAGCACCAGGGCCCGCCCCCGCATCAAGGTCCGCCGCCTCACAGGCCCCCAATGCAGGTGGGTTTTTGCAAACATTTCGAGCACGGAAAGCGTTCCACAAACAAGTAACTGCTATGTATTTCAAAACTTATTTATCGTGTTTATTTATCTTAGTAGTCCTATGAAATAAACAAGGCCGATAGTGTTGCAAACATAAAGTTAATGTACCTAGCGGTATACAGGGTGGAAACGATAAGTGATCTCATTCGATTATTTCTAAACTACACAAGATATCGACAAACTGATTACTGATCCTGAAAGTGCTTCACGAGCTCTTTCAAACGTAATCAGTAATAGGTTACAGAATTAACTGGATCTATCCAAAAATTCAATGTTTTCAGCCTCCATACTAAATGTATGCCACTATGCCAGCCACACAATGTTAGAAGTGCTAATTTTTTTATTTTAAATAATAAACACTTGAAATTAACTCGTAAATTGCATTATTATTTAAAATTATTCATGGAAAACATTGGTTTTTGGCTTTACTTGCTATAATATTATCAAGACATGAGTGCCATGACTGTGGCAGTACTAAATGTATGGAAGCTGGTAACATTGAATTTTCGGATAGGTCCAGTTTATTTTATAACTTATTATTGGTATCGTTGGATAGAACTCGAGAAGCACTTTCAGGATCAGTAACCAGTTTTTGGATATCTTGTATAGTTTTTAATATAATGTGGTTTTACTAAATGTATGGAGGCTGGAAACATTGAATTTTGAGATAGATCCAGTTTATTTTATAACCTATTATTGGTACCATTGGATAGAGCTCGTGAAACACTTTCAGGATCAGTAACCAGTTTTTGGATATCTAGTATAGTTTAGAAATAATCGAGTGCGATCACTTATCGTTTCCACCCTGTAGAGCAACAAAGATCTGAGCGAGCGTTATGTCACTAGCAGCAACACTGTGATAAAAAGAGATGCGTGATGCCGTCGCCGCACGTCAAACAGAACCGTTTTTTGCAACTATTTGACAGTTCGCTGAAAATACTTTTGAACTCGTGAGATATTTTCAGATTTTACGTGATTGAAATCGTGTGTTTATGAAAAATAATGCTTTAGAAACGTAGTGACTAGTTCAGTGATTGATTTATTGTACAAAACAGTGAAATAATCCTGACAACTGTATCTATATCTGTACTAATAACATCCAGTGTACCAGTGTCATCCAAAATCGTTTTTGTTTGACTGTTTTTGCTTTATTCCGAAGGAATATTAACTAGTGATGTACAAGACTCGAGGCGTCGAGTACTATTTTTGAATGTATTTGCGGAATGGCAAGGCTCAGTCAGCTCTTGAGCCTTGAAAAGAGCTCGAACCTTCAAAAGAGCTCGAATCTTCAAAAGAGCTCAAACCTTCGGCAAAAAATAAAAAAACATCACCTACATTGTATTTTATTATAAGATTTTTAAAATGTACCTATATTTTATTTTGTTAGGAAAAATTCTAATTGTTTGTAGTCATTATTTGATTTGTGTCCTTTTGTGAAAAACGTTTTTCAAATATGTATTTTATTGTAGGTATCAGAATTCCTGCAGTTTTATTCAAAAGAACGATCTTAACACAAAAGTTAACTGGGCTTTCAAAAAGGCTCGAGCTCTGCGAAAGACTCCAAGCTTCATACAAACGAGGCGAGCCCCGAATAAGGCTCGAACTCTAAAAAAGACTTACGAGTCGTCGAGCTTCATACAAACGAGGCGAGCCCTGTAAACGACTGAGCTCTCGGCAAAAGGACTCGGAAGCCTCGAGCCTTGTACATCACTAATATTAACTAGTGTTGCAAACAATTCTATCGATGGTAACGTTGTCGTGTCCCAACAGTCGCCGCACGGGCCGCACCACATGCAGCCGCACCAGGGGCCCCCGCCGTACCACATGCGCCACCAGAGCCCCCCGCCGCACCAGGGGCCCCCGCCGCACAGGCCGCCGATGCAGGTGGGTCTCTCAGGCCACAGCTCTGCTATTTTTGGCACCTGAATGACTGGTTATGTGCAAGTTAACCCTTAACCAGGCTCAAAGAAAAGTCATTGGTTTTCAACCGTATACCGTATCTTTACAGCATAAAGTTCAAATTGATGGGCTCTGTGGATACTAGAGCCTGGTTAAGGGTTAAAGCATCAGGACATTCAGGCATTGAAATTGGTGGAGTTGAGCCCCTGATAATTAGAATAGTTAAAAAACCATTGACCTGTAGTTTCTAATCTATTTATTTCGCGTTTTAAGTTCGAAGTCAAGTAGTTGATATATTGAGTCTCTGATTAGTAAAAAGACCAATCTAAATCACTTCTTTTGTCATAAAATTGCATTAGAGTTAAATAAATAAATAAATCATTTATTTGCTCAGAAACATGGTTACAAAATACCTACATGTTTTCAGGAAGATACTCCACGAAAATAATCAACGGTATCCACATCCTTTTTTCTACCATAGATTTGGTATGTAGTGTAAGAATAGAAAAGCATTATACCGCAGGCCTAACACAGCATAGCGCAGTTTTGGAAGAAACACAGTTAAAATGGTCGTTAAATTGTAGCCCCAATCTGTCCCACAGTTCCAAGGCCCGCCGCAGATGCAGCGGCCGCCGGGCCCGCGGCCGGGCCCGGAGTGGGGCCCGCGGGGCCCGCCGCACCATATGCAGCAGGGCGCGCCGCAGTACGGCCCGCCGCAACACCAGCTGCCGCCGCACCAGCTGCCGCCGGCACACGCAGTCAGTGTAAAGGCACCTTTATGTCACAGTTGTTGTGATGTCTTGTGTGTTTTTTGTTGTTTATTTTTTTTTCTTGGGCTGCTCACGGATCTTGTAATAGTCAAAGTTAAAGAGCCGTGTGGTGACGGCAGAGTAGAATACATTTGTCACCAACCTCTACTCTTCCCACGTGTGTGTCGTAAGAGGCGACTTGGACTACACATCAATACGTCTGCCCGTTCTGGGCAGCAGCGCTCTCTGAAAAACATCAATCTTTTAAACTGCGATCTCCAACTCGCCTGCCAAGCGTGGAGATTATGGAAAAACCCTGCACTATAGTGGAGGAGGCTCATAGTCCAGCAGTGGACTGTAAAGGGCTGTTGATGATGAATAGTCAAAATATCGTTGATGTTTAGAAGTAGTCCTATTGAAAGACGGTCCTAAATCGGTATTCACGTGTCATTTCGATAGAACGATTACTCGATAGGATCGCAACTCAGCGATTTGACATTCGACATTTAATCACTGTCATCCGATTAATCCAAGCTTCAAAAGAAGTTTTGTTACGTGAATTAGGCCACTGATTTTAATGAACCCTTAAACGAGCACACATCTTTTTTTGCACGAGTTGTGAGCATGGCTTATAGGATGTGTTATTTCTGTTTTCTTTTGTATAAATGTGACCTTGATTTGCCAATTCAAAGATAAAGGAATAATGCTTAGGTGTTTTTGAGTTTTTCAACACATCGATTTAAAAGAATTAAGTGTATAGTTTGGTTTTCTTTAAGTGTCCTATCTTTTACGTCTCACGAAGTCCATATTTGACACAGGCATATGAGGCATACCTGTGTTGACAAACTTAACATTTTATAGAACTATAGATAAACAGACTTCCTCATGTTTATTACTAGCCAAAACTTTAAATTTTATCATACTTTGTATTGCGTTGAACATCAATGCTGCCCCCGATAGTTAAAAGGGAGCATCTAACACTAAGTCGAAACGTAGATATAAAAGTTTCAAATAATTGAAATAGGGAATTCTTAGCAGTCCCTGAGTTACCTGATATCAAAAAAAAAAAATGTTAGATGCGCCTTTTCAACTATCAATGAATATTGATAGTTGAAAAGATAGAATGGCAAAGAAGATTACTATGGTACATTAAGTCCGGCTTATGTATACTTGTTTTATGTGCATAGAAGTTTAAAATAAATAAATAAATAATAAATCTTTGGACAATCACACAGCGCCAGCTAGCCCCAAAGTAAGCAACTTAATGCTTGTGTTATGGGTGCTAGCTTAACGGATATACTACTTATATACTTTTTTTTTAAATACATACATATTATACATAGTTACTCCCAGACCCGTCACAGAAATTAAAATTCATCATTTCAATTTCTGCCCGGCCGGGAATCGAACCCGGGACCTCTCGGCATAGTAGTCCGCTCTGAACCACTACACCAAACGGCCGACAAATAAATGGTGTGTTCCAAACAATGTTTAAAAGCACGTGTATGAACGCCATGTTTGTGCCGCAGCCGCCGGGGCAGGGCATGCCGCCGCCGCACCACCAGCTGCCACCGCACCAGCAGGGCCCGCCGCGGGGCCCCGCGCCGTTGCCGCAGCACCCAGGTAATTTATCTTGCAATATGACCTTTATTAACACATGCTATAATCCCAACTAATATTATAAATGCGAAAGTAACTCTGTCTGTCTGTCTGTCTGTCTGTCTGTCTGTCTGTCTGTCCGTCTGTCCTGTCTGTCTGTCTGTCTGTCTGTCTGTCTGTCTGTCTGTTACGCTTTCCCGCTTAAGCCTCGCAACCGATTTTGATGAAATTTGGCATAGAGATAGTTTGAGTCCCGGGAAAGAACATAGGATAGTTTTTATCCCGGTTTTTGAAACAGGGACGCGCGCGATAAAGTTTTTCTGTGACAGACAAAATTCCACGCGGGCGAAGCCGCGGGCGGAAAGCTAGTAAACTATAAATATCCTTGGACATTTTAAACTGCGCTTCTAGTCCCAAACCAATCAAAGCTTTTACTATGGGTACTAGACAACGGATATAAATAAACATTCTTAAATACTTTTTTTTGTAAATACATACTTATTATACACTAGTTATACATAGAAAACACCCAGTCCAACACAAACAAATATGTTCATGCACTGTGCACAAACAAATATTTGTACTGTGCGGGAATCGAACCCGCTACCTCCGGAATAGTAGTCCGTTTCGAACCACTACACCAAACGGCCGACATAGTGATGTTACTGTTATTTTCGTGATATTAAAGATGCAATTGGGTGGGGGTCGGATACTATTCACAGATGTATCTTGCGATATAACCTTTATTAGCACACTTTATGGTGTGTTATTGCTATTTTTTGTAAAATTAAGATGCAATTGGGGACACTTTTGACAGACAGTTTCTTGAACTTTAAAATTCTGGCTCATTTTCATTAATTTGTATTAACGATTTGATTTGATTCAAATCAATACTAATTTGGTCAGTTGACTTTGAAAAAAGAAACAGAACTTACAAGAGAGTAAAGTTAAACATTAGTGGTGGTGTCATCAACTAAGGGTCGGGGGAGTTAAAATCCTGCATCTTTTTGAACATTCATTGTTTATCACTACTTTGTACCACATTTACCGCAATAAAGAAATTCTATTCTATTCTATTCTATTCTATTCTTTTTTGTCTGTACATAAGTCAACGAAATATAGTGCTTTTGAATATTATTATTATCTCGATTAAGCTTGTAGTATCCCTTCAAAAGAAGCCCACCAAAACGTATTTTGCCCTTGTAGATACAGTTTGTGCGAAAGTTGAGTGCAGACTTCAGGACTTTTTGCCTGTAGCTCTTGCGTTTAACTCACTTGTGGAACGTGGCGTCATGCAGGCTGGCCGGCAGGCTTTTATTTTGCCCTCGTTTGTAGTGTAGTACTCGTAATTTTTGCGCGCAAGTTGAAGCCGGACAGAACATTTTATTTGTGTCGTTCTGCCTTGAACTCGCGCGCTTACCGTAGTGTAGCAGTAGCTAGTGTTGTGACCTGTAATGTAACACGTCAGGCGTAGGTCCGGGCGCGCCGGCTCCACACGTGAACCCGGCGTTCTTCAGCCAGCAGCCGCCAGTGCAGCCGGCGCCGGGCGCGCAGCCGCCGCCGCCGGGGCCGCCGGGTGAGTGTTGACAACACTAAACTCATTCTTTTGTTTAGCTCATTGGTTCCTAAACTTATTTGAGATGCACCCCCTTTCGACCATACAAAAAATTCCTCAGTCAAGATTATCAAGGCTCTGGAACTCTCTGCCTGAAGAGACCAGGCAAGCGTCTAGTAAGTTTTCTTTTAAAAAATCTGTCCATAATCACTTCCTCCAAATGATTTCATCTTCATGAATTGTAATTTCAGTTTAACTCAATCATCTATTTTATGTATGTATTTATTTATTATATATTTTATATATTATTTATGTATGTAGCATATTATTATTTGTTTTTGTTTTCTTTCCTGCACTAGAAGTACCGCCAAACAAATTTATTTTCTGCTCAACCCAAAGGTAAACTGGTCGAGAATGCTTTAGTGCATTAAGTTCGCCTTATGTACAAATTTATTTTGGCATAAAAGTTTAAATAAATAAATAAAATAAATATTTATTGGTCGTATCGAGCAGTCTGGAATGCATTCTCTCAGCGATCGCAGGTTTTCTATACTTAAGTACACAGATGGCCCGCGCCCCCCTTTAAAGGCCTCCCCTGGGGGGCGTGCCCCCCACTTTGGGAACCAATAGTTTAGCTCATTTAAAGATCCTAATTCCTTAAGCTTCAACCACACCGACGCGTGCAGATCGCCTTCGCCGACGCGATCAAAGGCCAATGACAGGTCGCGCGACCCATGACAGTTCACGCGACCTGTCATTTCCCTATGATCGCGCCGTGATCGCGCCGAATGGCGATCTGCACGCGTTGGTGTGGTTGAAGCATTACAAACAATATTTACATGTTCGTTGAACAGTGTTTTAAAGAGACTTTTAGTATGGAAAATATGTCATACTAAAACAGTGTTCAACAAACGTGTAAGCGTGTTTTTATTAGTCCTGAAAAACTTAGACAAAGAGAAGACATTATCTTTTAATTAAGGATAAAATAAAATAACCATCCATTTATCTTTCTATAGCTAAAAAGCACAATTAATTTGTAAATTCCATGCACCTATTATTTATTTATGAGGGTGTTATTATTTGACATTAGGGTGCTATGATATTAGATTGACCTTTTATACCTTGACTTGATAACATAGTATAATTCAATAATCTTAAGACTAGGCGCAGACCACCGATTTGTAGTTAGCCGTTAGTTGGGCCCGATTTTAATTTGTATGAAGAATCGGCCAAATCGAATCGGCGTAATGTGCGCACTTCCATACATGCCCATACTGATCAACTGCCCGAATAAACTATCGACCGACGAAAAATCGATGGTCTGTACCTCATAGTTCTATCTTTCCAATCTTATTCTTACCTCTATAGTCTGGTCCGGGAGCACGTAGAATTTTGTCCAATGACCCCAAACCACCCATCCTTATTGCTCGCGCGTAATTATGTTGCTGTCACGCTCGCACACTCACTGCGGGCCAGACTATACCACTATAGTTACACGTCGTGCGGGCCAGACTATACCACTATAGTTATAGGGACCAGACTATAGTGGACACGTCGAGTTCTAGACTAGAACTGATGTACTAGACTAACGTAGAACAATTCGCAGGGCCCGGTGCGCCTTACGGCCACCCGCCGCACGGCGCGCCGCCGCCGGCGCAAGGCCCGCCGCCGGGGGCTAGGCAGCCCTATGGCAGACCACCACAGGTAAGAAATGATACGAAGCTTCACTGATAAATATAGATAAATTTCACACAGCGCTTTCTAGCCCCAAAGTAACAAACTTGACCTTCATTGGTTGGGTTTTTGTGGCGGTCAAGCTGTAGATCCTCTCTACACAGGAGTTGCAGTGGTGGGAACGACAGGTGGGAATAGTCCCGTTAGCCCCAAAGTAAGCTATACTGATATAATAAAGTTAGTTTTGTTTGCGCGCTAAGCTCAAACTACTGGTCCGATTTGAAAAATCTGTTTCTATTGGAATAGCCCATTTATCGAGGAAGGCTGAAGCCTACAGCCAAAGCGAAGCAGTAAAGAAAAATGTTGTAAATGGCACAGGTAGTGTTTTTGTAAAGATTGTGCACTTATTAGACGACATCTTGGATGATGAATATACTCTGTCGTAACAGACCGCTTGAACATCTTTTCACACTGTTAAAATATTTGGCCAAATATGTACAAGTTCATAAGAGGCCACAGTGCAGCATGACATGCCGTTCTCTGTACCAATGACCTAACCGTCCACTTGCGACGACAGTATGACATCTCTACCATAGAGATATATCACACTGTCGTCGCATGAGGACGCTATATTCCAGGAGTGACCAACTTGATTAGACATAAGATCTACTGTTTACTAATGAAACCCTGGGTGATCTACTACTTACATACTTCTTGAAATCGTAAATGAAACAGCATAGTTTAGTACACAATCATGTAGTATTTTTTGTCTTGCCACGCACGATCGACTGGACTAATAGTAGCGATCGACCGGTTGGCCACCCCTGCTATTATAATAGTCTGTGGATCTTCACAAACAACTCGACACCTGTCTGTAATCGGTGGTTTATAAATACGTCTTTTCACAGAGCTACCCGCCACCAGCGGAAGCGGCGCGCGCGCCTCACCACGCGGCGGCCATCGCGCCCCACGCGGCCCACGCACCGCATCCGGCCATCAGCGAGGCCGAGTTCGAAGAGGTCATGGGCCGCAACCGCACCGTGTCATCCAGCGCCATAGCACGCGCCGTCAGCGACGCAGCCGCTGGAGAATACGCGTCTGCTATAGAGACGCTTGTCACAGCCATCTCCCTCATCAAGCAGAGCAAGGTCAGTGGCCTTTGAACGCTGTTGTTTCTACTGACGTCATCAAAGGGGCGGGGCTTGAGGTCGCCGCAACCGCACCGTGTCGTCCAGCACCATAGCACGCGCAGTTAGCGACGCAGCCGCTGGAGAATATGCGTCTGCCATCGAGACTCTTGTCACAGCTATCTCCCTCATCAAGCAGAGCAAGGTCAGTGGCCTCTAGATGAGTTAGTTTCTAATTACGTCATCATGTTTACGTACGTTTCTCACCACGCGGCGGCCATCGCGCCTCACGCGGCCCACGCGCCGCATCCGGCCATCAGCGAGGCCGAGTTCTAAGAGGTCATGGGACGCAACCGCACCGTGTCGTCCAGCGCCATAGCACGTGCAGTTAGTGACGCAGCCGCTGGAGAATATGCGTCAGCTATAGAGACGCTCGTTACAGCTATCTCGCTCATCAAGCAGAGCAAGGTCAGTGGCCTTTGAACGCAGTTGTTTCTACGCCGGCGGGGCTTGAGGTCGCCGCAACTGCACCGTGTCGTCCAGCGCCATAGCACGCGCCGTCAGCGACGCAGCCGCTGGTGAATACGCGTCCGCAATCGAGACGCTTGTGACAGCCATCTCCCTCATCAAGCAGAGCAAGGTCAGTTTGAACGCAGTTGTTTCTACTGACGTCATCAAAGGGGCGGGGCTTGAGGTCGTCGCAACCGCACCGTGTCGTCCAGCGCCATAGCACGCGCCGTCAGCGACGCAGCCGCTGGAGAATACGCGTCCGCTATAGAGACGCTCGTTACAGCCATCTCGCTCATCAAGCAGAGCAAGGTCAGTGGCCTTTGAACGCAGTTGTTTCTACGCCGGCGGGGCTTGAGGTCGCCGCAATCGCACCGTGTCGTCCAGCGCTATAGCACGCGCAGTTAGTGACGCAGCCGCTGGAGAATACGCGTCTGCAATCGAGACGCTTGTGACAGCCATCTCCCTCATCAAGCAGAGCAAGGTCAGTGGCCTCTAGATATCTTAGTTTCTAATTACGTCATAATGGGGCGGGGCTTGAGGTCGCGGCAACCGCGACGTGTCGTCCAGCGCTATAGCGCGTGCTGTGAGCGACGCAGCCGCTGGAGAATACGCGTCTGCTATAGAGACGCTCGTTACTGCTATCTCGCTGATTAAGCAGAGCAAGGTTAGTGGCCTTTGAACGCAGTTGTTTGTACTGACGTCATCAAAGGGGCGGGGCTTGAGGTCGCCGCAACTGCACCGTGTCGTCCAGCGCCATAGCACGCGCCGTCAGCGACGCAGCCGCTGGAGAATACGCGTCTGCTATAGAGACGCTGGTTACTGCCATCTCGCTCATCAAGCAGAGCAAGGTCAGTGGCCTCTAGGATGTCTTAGTTTCTAATTACGTCATCATGTTTACGTACGTTTCTCACCACGCGGCGGCCATCGCGCCCCACGCGGCCCACGCGCCACACCCGGCCATCAGCGAGGCCGAGTTCGAAGAGGTCATGGGACGCAATCGCACTGTATCATCCAGCGCTATAGCACGCGCCGTCAGCGACGCAGCCGCTGGAGAATACGCGTCTGCCATCGAGACGCTGGTTACTGCTATCTCGCTGATCAAGCAGAGCAAGGTCAGTTTGAACGCAGTTGTTTCTATTGACGTCATCAAGGGGGCGCGGCTCTAACGCAATAGCGCGAACTGTCAGCGACGCTGTCGCCGGCGATTACACATGCGCGATAGAGACGCTTGTTACAGCCATCTCGCTCATCTTGCAAGGTCAGTGGCCTCTCAATGCTGCAGTTATGACGCCATCAGCGAGGCCGAGTTCGAAGAAGTCATGGGCCGCAACCGCACAGTGTCGTCCAGCGCCATAGCACGCGCCGTCAGCGACGCAGCCGCTGGAGAATACGCGTCGGCTATAGAGACGCTTGTTACTGCTATCTCCCTCATCAAGCAGAGCAAGGTCAGTGGCCTCTAGATGTCTTAGTTTCTAATGACGTCATCAGTGGGCGGAGCTTGAGGTTATGGGCCGCAACCGCACCGTGTCGTCCAGCGCCATAGCACGCGCCGTCAGCGACGCAGCCGCTGGAGAATACGCGTCTGCTATAGAGACGCTTGTGACAGCCATCTCCCTCATCAAGCAGAGCAAGGTCAGCTTCTGGATGCTTGTAATGACGTAATAAAGGGGGCGGGGCCGCACCGTGTCGTCCAGCGCCATCGCACGCGCAGTTAGTGACGCAGCCGCTGGAGAATATGCGTCTGCTATCGAGACGTTTGTTACAGCTATCTCGCTCATCAAGCAGAGCAAGGTCAGTGGCTTTTGTAATGACATCATAAAGGGGGCGGGGCGATAGAGACGTCAGACGCTTGTCACAGCCATCTCGCTCATCAAGCCGAGCAAGGTCAGTGGCCTCTAGACGTCTTAATTTCTAATTACGTTATCATGTTTACGTACGTTTCTCACCACGCGGCGGCCATCGCGCCCCACGCGGGCCACGCGCCGCATCCGGCCATCAGCGAGGCCGAGTTCGAAGAGGTCATGGGCCGCAACCGCACTGTGTCGTCCAGCGCCATAGCACGTGCCGTCAGCGACGCAGCCGCTGGTGAATACGCGTCCGCAATCGAGACCCTCGTCACAGCTATCTCCCTCATCAAGCAGGGCAAGGTCAGTGGCCTCTGGATGCTTTTGTTGTGACGTCATCCAGAGACGTGGTTTAGGATCATGGTCCGCAACCGCACCGTGTCGTCCAGCGCCATAGCGCGTGCTGTGAGCAACGCAGCCGCTGGAGAATACGCGTCTGCTATAGAGACGTCAGACGCTTGCCACAGCCATCTCGCTCATCAAGCAGAGCAAGGTCAGTGGCCTTTGAACGCAGTTGTTTCTACGCCGGCGGGGCTTGAGGTCGCCGCAACCGCACCGTGTCGTCCAGCGCTATAGCACCGGCCGTCAACGACGCAGCCGCTGGAGAATACGCGTCAGCTATAGAGACGCTCGTTACAGCCATCTTCCTCATCAAGCAGAGCAAGGTCAGTGGCCTCTAGACGCGTGCTATGACGTCATAAAGGGGGTGGGGCTCTAGTTTATGGTCCGCAACCGCACCGTGTCGTCCAGCGCCATAGCACGCGCAGTTAGTGACGCAGCCGCTGGTGAATATGCGTCTGCTATAGAGACGCTGGTTACTGCCATCTCCCTCATCAAGCAGAGCAAGGTCAGTGGCCTTTGAACGCAGTTGTTTCTACTGACGTCATCAAAGGGGCGGGGCTTGAGGTCGCCGCAACCGCACCGTGTCATCCAGCGCCATAGCGCGTGCTGTGAGCGACGCAGCCGCTGGAGAATACGCGTCCGCTATAGAGACGCTTGTGACAGCTATCTCGCTCATCAAGCAGAGCAAGGTCAGTGGCCTCTAGATGTCTTAGTTTCTAATTACGTCATCATGTTTACGTACGATTCTCACCACGCGGCGGCCATCGCGCCCCACGCGGCCCACGCGCCACACCCGGCCATCAGCGAGGCCGAGTTCGAAGAGGTCATGGGCCGCAACCGCACCGTGTCGTCCAGCGCCATAGCACGCGCCGTCAGCGACGCAGCCGCTGGAGAATACGCGTCCGCAATCGAGACGCTTGTGACAGCCATCTCCCTCATCAAGCAGAGCAAGGTCAGTGGCCTCTAGATGTCTTAGTTTCTAATTACGTCATCATAATGGGGCGGGGCTAGAGGTCGCCGCAAGCGCACCGTGTCGTCCAGCGCCTTAGCACGCGCCGTCAGCGACGCAGCCGCTGGAGAATACGCGTCTGCTATAGAGACGCTCGTTACTGCTATCTCGCTCATCAAGCAGAGCAAGGTCAGTGGCCTTTGAACGCAGTTGTTTCTACGCCGGCGGGGCTTGAGGTAGCCGCAATCGCACCGTGTCGTCCAGCGCCATAGCGCGCGCCGTCAGCGACGCAGCCGCTGGAGAATACGCGTCTGCAATCGAGACGCTTGTAACAGCCATCCCCTCATCAAGCAGAGCAAGGTCAGTTTGAACGCAGTTGTTTCTACTGACGTCATCAAAGGGGCGGGGCTTGAGGTCGCCGCAACTGCACCGTGTCGTCCAGCGCTATAGCGCGTGCTCTGAGCGACGCAGCCGCTGGAGAATACGCGTCTGCCATAGAGACGCTTGTTACAGCCATCTCCCTCAACAAGCAGAGCAAGGTCAGTGACTTTTAGAAGCTTGTTATGACGTCATCAAGGGGACGGGACTTGAGCTCATGAGCCGCAAATGCACCGTCTTGTCACGAAACCAAGTTTTGAGAACTTCACTTCTAAAGTGAATGAGAGAGATGTCTCTTCAAAACTGTGAATACGACCATTACGAGGGCGGCACTGAAAATTTCGGGAATCAAGGAAGTGAAACAAAATTACTATTTAAAAATATATTTATTGCTTTTTAAAGTATTCTCCGCGAAATTAGACACATTTTTCCATACACGAAACCAATCATTGAAGCAACCATTCCATTCGGAAGTTTGGGTCTCCAAAATGGCCGTTTTGTAGGCGTCCACAGCTTCTTCAGGTGATGAAAATCTCTGACCACGCAATTTATTCTTTATTTTAGGGAAAGTATAGAAATCATTAGGGCTTAGGTCGGGGCTGTACGGCGGATGGTCCAATAATTCTATGGTTTCTTGCTCTAAAAACTCTTTTGTTCTGTGCGCGGTGTGAGAACTCGCATTGTCGTGATGGAGGATGATGCGGCGGTTGCAGTTCTCTTTACGGAGTTCAGAAACGACCTGTGGCAAACAAATGCTAGCATACTTTTTGTTTCGGGTTCGTTCGCGTATATCCAGGATTCGTCACCTGATACGATGTTGTATACAGCATTTGAGGATCCTACGTGTAATCTTTCGAGAGTTCTGACGCACCAAGTAACGCGAGCCGCTTTTTGCTCTTCACGGAGCGAATGCGGTATCTATGGGGAAAACAACTTTTTTACACCTAATTGTTCATGCAAGATTATTTGTATTTGACTCATGCCAATGTCTAAAGTTGCCTGAATTTCGCGGTATGTCACATGTCGATCTACTTCAATCAGCTTACGCACAGCATCAACGTTTTCTTGGGTGACTACAGTTTTGGACGACCTTGACGGGGATCATCACTGAGCTTGACACGTCCACGTTGAAATTCAGCAAACCAGCGATAAATTGTGGTTTTGGATGGGGCTTCATTACCAAATGCAGAAATCATCCGGTCAACACACTGTTTTTGTGTTAAACCACTTCAAAAGTCATAATATATCATCGCTCTTGAATTTTCTCGAGTCAATTCCATTTTCTCAACGACTAAACAAGTTTGACAAGACCTTGTGATACGACCGAGAATCTTTTTTTAAATAAATAAATGGTATACGATTTTTAAAACCTTGGAGTTTGCAATTAAATAGATTTTAATATGACAGGAACAGTGGAAATATTCCATTCCCGATACTTTTAGTGCAGCCCTCGTATTGTTTGCAAATCATTCGAATACCCATTTTATTCGTGCCAAATGTTATACCCAATCTAACTTCAAATCTTCTCTCAGGTTGCCCACGACGACCGTTGCAAGATCCTGATATCTTCGCTGCAAGACACGCTGCACGGCGTGGAGACCAAGTCCTACAGCAGCGGCGAACGTTCGCGGCGCTCGCGCTCGCGGGAGAGAGACGCTCGCGCGCACCACCGCGCGCCGCGCCGCCGCGAACGTTCGGCTTCGCGCTACAGAGACCGCAGCAGGGATAGAGAAGACAGGGATCGGTGAGTTGGATCCTAATATCGTTAGCTCTTTTTCCCCTAGATTATAATTACTGGTGCCGCGATTACACACACTATTTTTATGGATGAAGGCGACTACGCAAACATCAACCCACCCGTCTGCCCAGTGTAAGCCACATTATTTATTTGACTCAGGTAAATTGAGAAGCTCTTGATCCTGCAGTTTAGACTAAATAACTGGATGACCTCGCATTTCCTCTTCGTGACGCAACAAATTACCAGTAAGTCGAATTAAACTATTAACACTGGGTTGCATACTTGACTGTAACAAACGTCAAAATCCACACAAAAATGCAGTTTAGACTAAATAACTGGATGACCTCGCATTTCCTCTTCGTGCGTGACGCAACAAATTAAGTAACCTTAATTAAGCAACAGTAAGTCGGTTTTTACTCTTAGACTGGGTTGCACCATCTTACTTTGACTGTAACAAACGTCAAAAATCTGTCAAACTCCATACAGACATCACCGGTTATCGTTATAGTTACGGTCAAAGTTTGGTGGTGCAACTCAGAATTTGTATTCCTTCCTTGTGTCAGGCCTGTTCATCTCCGCGAGTTTACATCAAAAACAAAACACGCACGATTGCCCCCTACAAGAGTACTATTCGACAAGGCCTCACATACGAGCGAACATTGACTCACGCACGCGTATTCTTATGTATGATGGAAAAAAATAAAGAAAATGGTGTACTAAATACTGTGCAGTATTTAACTGCCTAAATAATAATAAAAACACAGAATGTACTTTTTTAAGTTGCCTCAAGACACTGAGAGGTAAATAAGTAGTTAATATTATTCATGATAATTCATGCTAAATCATGTATTTCCTCCGCCATTTTCTGCAGATTGGCACCTCACGTCACATCATTTTACCGAAGTCAGCCCTATAGCTTCGGCGCAGTACCGATCACTGACGTTTGTCAACAAAACTTCTGACAAACTTGCTTGACTCTTGAGACAAGCTAAATTACACCATATTGTTAATGACATTGAGCATACATTTTTTTAAATACCTTCGCGAAGTAAAACTTCTGTACGTAGTACTTATTATTATTCTGTGCTTGTGTTCTTATAGCGCTACGCAGTAGCGTATAGCCTGACCAGGAACATAAAAACCCTCGCCATTTTGCGGAAAACTAATGGTACTAATTTCTTTTAATGGCAACAGTAACTGAAAACTTCATTGACATGTCACCTTGCATGTCAGTCTATTGCTGTCAAAGTGTAAACAAACTTTATTTTAAATGTGCGCAATTGATTTTGTGAATTAAATTGCTAAAATCTTTTTACAGTCGTGAAAGAAAAGTGGTTCACAATGTGTTAAAGTATTTGTCGAAGAGAAATACTAAGGGTTCGGACAATATTTTCATTGAATAATGTTTCCGACAAAGGTTGTCAAATTGACTGACATGTTTATCGTATAGTACAGTCCACTATGAAAATTAGCTGTGGTTTGTTTCAAATACCTATTTTAAAGTTTTTTGTCACTTTCTAAGTGTTGAATTTTATGGAATTGGGAAAGAAGTACCGAGTTTGAAGCGTTCATGAGCAGACATTGCAGTTGAATATTCAAGTTCTGAATTTGATTATTGATGAATAATAAAATAAATCATACTAACTCGATTGATGGTTTCATTTAATTTATTTAAACCAGGTTACCTATAATATTTTTTTTTCGTTAATTTATGAAAATATCAAATTAGCCCGTAATCTTGAATCCTGATACATAAAGTTAGCCTATTAATTTAACACAGGTACGACTGTACTAAGTGTTGCACTATCAAATGCAATTGACGCGCCTCTATGCCAGGGTTTTTATGTTCCTGGTCAGGCTATACTTAGGATACATAAGAGTACACCTCTTCCTTCTTTTCGTACATGAAGCTGCGAAAACAGTCTATAAACTGACATCGACAGGTTTGTACCAGAATACGCCTTGTAAAACTTTTCACAGATTATACCTCTATTTTACTGTCACTTATGTCAAGGGTATGGGTAAGGGATGCAGCCGCGACGTTATATGAATTTCAATAATAGACACTACGAGTTCTGATCAGTAAATAATCCCTCTTTGGTCGAATAAGTAACTTGCAACATGGTCTTGGTATTTGTTCCAGATACCGCGAACGGTCGAGTGGGCGTGACCGCGAGCGCGATCGTGACGCGTAAGTGTCTATTATTGAAATTTGTATCTTGTGCCTATGTAAATACTAACGAAAATCAAACAACGAATTTATAACGTTTGGTTATTGTTCTAGCATTTTCAGGTAAGTGACCTAAATAATGTTTGGTATAACTAAAGAAGCCCGGTCCGTGAGCACGTAGAATTTTGTCCATTGACCCCTAGCTACCCATCCTTATCGCTCGCGCGTAATTATATTGCTGTCGCGACTGTGCGACTGGCACCCGCAGTGAGTGTGCGAGCGCGATAGCAACATAATTACGCGCGAGCGATAAGGATGGGTAGCTAGGGGTCATTGGACAAAATTCTACGTGCTCACGGACCAGACTATACACCGTGAAATATTCCCTATGAAATATTCCATTCTTAGTAGAATAATGGTACAGTCAAATACTTTCTTCTTCTTCTTTTGTCGACGTCGACGCATTTGTGTTTGGGCACACTGTCCCTCCAATGTCACGTGCTCTCCTACTGTCAATCAATCAATCTATAGTGCCGTTCAAACGATAGAATTTTTCGTTTGGACGGCAGTATAGTTCCAAAATACTGAACTGTCCTATGCATGACATTGACAGTGGGGCGCCACCGTCAATACCGGATCGCTGGTTCCGATTTTTGCCATGTTGGAAACCATATAGTTGAACGATGGTAGCGCCCCCCTGTCATTGAGTTTGGTGGGACAGTTCAGCCCCCCTAGACAAAACGCACTTTTTGATCGAATCGAAAATCGAATCCGTCAAAACTCCATACAAAAAAGGGGCTTTTCGACTGGTTTGCGATTATAATTTGCACTTTGTCTAGACCCACAGCGTGGGTCATCAATATACCGATTACCGCTATATGTAGGCTGACATTTGTCATTACGTGTCAACTGTGGCAACTTTTCAATGGTCATAAGAATTATTATCGTTATTAAATGAAGTTTCTTAAATTCGTAGGTACTACAGAGACTACCGTGAGAGGGAACGCGACCGCTCCAGGTCTAGAGACCGCGAACGCACTGATCACTACAACAGGGGACACAGCCGGGAAGAGAGGTCAGTTTGTAAACCTTTTTTGAATAAAATATTGTTGTAATCATTCTGCCCAACCCCGTTTATCGCGATGACATTGTGTCGGTTTATAATTATTTATATAATTTAAGAAAGAACTTGAATGGTAAGAAGCATGCTTGCAGCGCAGTTATTGGATGAGTTGCTTCAAGGCAAAAATGGTGTACACGCAATTTTCACGTAGCTTCTGTTTCATGCTAAATCAATATTGCATATTATGTCATTAGTACGACTGTTGGCATATACCGGTCAATATAATTTGCAGTTCATGTGACTGGTTTTACGTCAGCATTATTTCCTATTGATATAAAATAACTTTTTAAATAATGCACTTTCCGATAAATCGTCTAACTGATTGACAATGCTAATTTAAATTCTTATTGTAGCACTAGCGGCCGCCCGCGACTTCGTACGCGTGAATCCCGTTTTTCCCGCTAATTCACGTTCCCGTGGGAATTTCGGGAATTCCTTTCTTAGTGCACCTCTACTGTACCTAAGCTACGTCCCTTCCAAATTTCAAGTACCTACGTTTAGCCGTTTAGGCTGTGCGTTGATCTGTCAGTCAGTCAGTCAGTTTCTCCTTTTATATATTTAGATAAAACCAATGAGGGCTATCGTTTTAGCGCTCACCAGTTAGCGCCACTGTAGAGTAAGGTCCTGTCACTTGCTAGTAGCGAAGACAGTGGCGCCAACTTGTGAGCGCTAAAGTGGTAGGAGGACTATCGCATTTGCACTCATCAAGGTGACGCCACTGTAGAGTAAGGTCCTGTCAATCGCCAGGGGTGCCAACTGTTAAGTATAAAAACGATAGCCCTCATTTTTAACGCATTACCACCTCCCCAGGCCGCGCAAATCGCCAGCTGACGCGACAGCCGAAAGCGGCGCGGGCGACGCTAGTTCAGCGAAGTCACGCGCAGCCGCGGCGCCGTACTACGACGAGCGTTACCGCGAGAGGCGCGAGCGAGATGCAGCACCCACAGAAAGAGACCGCGAACGCGACCATCGCCGTGACCCGAGACACTAGGGGATGGTCAGTACAAACAGCGTCTACGTCTTGCGGCGGCTTTATTGATGGACGGAACGTGGTCTGAGCGTTTTTGACTTTTGATCGATAAGCGTAATGGTCAATATTGATCGGACTAAGCGTGTTGGTCAATATTTATTTACTAAGCTAAGCGTATTGGTCAATATTGACTAAACAAGCGTGTTGGTCAATATTGACTAGACAAGCGTGTTGGTCAATATTGACTAAACAAGCGTGTTGGTCAATATTGACTAAACAAGCGTGTTGGTCAATATTGACTAGACAAGCGTGTTGGTCAATATTCAAGGGACTTAAGTGTGTGTTACAGAATGAGCTCAAAACTCGATTTAATTTCAAGCATAAATAAATGTTGAGGCTTTTGATTGGTTGAATTGCAATTTAGACCAATCAATGACTGAGATGGAACCGAGTTGTGAGCGTTGTTTTGTAAAGCACCTGAGCGTGTTGATCAATATTGACTGGACTAGCGTATTGATCAATAGACGCTTAGATCATGTGGGTCTTGGCTCCGCTGTGATGCTGTTTGTACTTCGCATTAGCGTTAATCTTACTTGTAATGTCTTGCCGTTTGACCCTCGTTCGTCTTTGAGATATTTGCATCCAACATTGTGTGATAGTGTAAAGTACAATTTGATTAATTGTCATTGTCTGTTTCACCTCGAGATTTTAGAAGCTATCTTAGGGTATTTGATAATACGGCAGGACTAAAGAATATACCATTGACTCGTAATGTAAGATGTGTGAAAATAAAAATCCTTAAGGATAATTTAGTTGTATGGTTTCTCTAGAACCCTGTAGATTACAAACAAGTATTGTTAATGGTATATTTAGCAAGTGAGATCACGCTAAGACTTTTAACACTGGATTTGACTTGTTTTGAGCAATGAAGAGTGCATTTCTATTATAATAATATGCTAATTAATATACAAACCTAATGTGCACTGTGATGTTCTCGGATTAGACTTGAGAAATCTTGGATGATTCATGTCTTGTACCATGAAATAGTCATATGAACAAGATATTATGTAGCGAGTTTTCAACATTAAATTTGTTGATCAGGCAAAAGTCTTAATATTTTGTTTATTGTAAATACACGCTTTTTCAATCGAGTGTATGGAACTTTTTTGTATTAATCGAATTATATGTTGTAGAACAATACAAACATTAATTTGCCTAATGGACTAATACCAAAGTGTATTCTTTCAGCTGTTTAAGTTATTATCAAGTGCGTGTAGTAGACATAAAGTCTTAAAAATGTGAACTATTGGGGTTACTCTAATTATTGTGTTTTGGCGTATGACTTTGCAAAATAAAGCGGTCACATTAGAATTAGTAAAATCAACACATGGGAGTAGACCATATTTTTGTAACGTAAATTGGGAAGTACATTCCAACACAAAAATGTTTCTCACTATACTAAATTCTGTGAAATTTAGGCATTGATGTTATCCTATTGTTTTAAATAATTTTATTCAATAGAGCTAGTTAGGTACAAGTCATCTAGATTTAAGTTTGTGGTACGGAGTTATCTGTACGGGCGTATGACTCTGACTTAGGATTTAATTATAAATAAATTGATGTATCAACTCAAAAACCTTTCTTTTATTTATAACAGACCTTAAAATTATACGCAACTGCACATATTCGTTAGGTAGGTACACACCATACACATAGGTTGGTAATTAACTAGGTACCTAATCTGATCAGGGTACAAGCAAAATTGAAAAAGGTACACTCAAAATTTAGTATCAATTATACACCTGTCGTAGAGATTTATTTGAAGAGCTTAAGGCGATTAGAGTCCTCAATGACCTTGGGCGTTTGACCTTCACGCCGCGAGCAACACCCGCGTACCCCGCACCAAAAACTCCGATTTGACACCGATCAAAAATACACGGGCATAGGTAGATACAGAATAGAAGCTCTTTCTTCATACATTACTGCCTATTATTTTAAACTTAAATTGATGAACCTTGATGTCGGTGTCATTAAAATCAGGCGAAAAGGTATTTAATAAAAATAACAAAATCCATGAACATTTTGTACGGGATAAAATTTTATTTTATTTTTCGTAAATTTTCTAATGCTTTTGTCGGTTCAGTCGTTCTCGAAATTTGAACAAACCCGACTTTATTACAAGCTTTTATTTAGCTTGCAATTTATCAAACTCTTGCTACTTTCTTGCTTTATCCACGAAACATCCCTATTCTTCGAAATTATTACGATCTACAAACGGAAAATCTCTGCTACTACGCCGCAGTAAATTCCCCATCATAAATAAAAAGATTTTTTTTAAAACAAGCTCTTGTATGCTAATAATTTTGGTTTCATGACATGCTCCTAAAATTCATCACCTTATAAGAGGATTTCAGTTTTCACCAAAAGGTAGGCCACCGACTCCGAAAATGGCTAATTTTGTAATCAGTATCCAAATTTTTTAATAAGCTCTATACAACAATTCAATAGAAAGAAAGAAAGAAAGAAAGATACATTTATTACAATGGACATCACACAAATACAGGCAATTACATAGACATGACAGTGGCACATAATAATAAAAGAAGAAAAAATAAAAACAAGAGTAAACTGAGCAGTGCCACCCATTCACCAACAAGATGCCCACTGCAACGGGACCCCACTCAGCATATGCCGTGGCCCACGGTGACGAAGGCCACGGCGCTGGTTTTCAGTGTGCCAATACCACTTTATCTCAATTTTTTTAATGTGACAGGAGGCAAACGAGCAAACGGATCACCTGTTGGTAAATGATTACCGTCGCCCATAGACACCCGCAGACCCAGGGGCGTTACAGGTGTTATTTTTAATTGTGATATTTTCGCGAAGAAACATATTGAAAATCTAATTCTAATAAGTATGAAAAACATAAATAGTTTTCTTCACGTAAATCGATTAAGTTACAGATTCTGACTAGCTCCTAATTTGGATACTGATTGCAAAGGCCTAGTAAATAAATAACGTAATAATTTTTCTACTTGTATTTATCTAGTGCAGTTGTTTTGGAGTCAATTATAGTTTTTTTACACTAATAGATTCTATTCAGGTAGAAAATAGCGTCTGAGCGCGTCATAATTCAATTGTATTGCGGCTTGACTCATAATTTCCCATAAATAAATTAATTTTAACTCATTGGTTTTATCTGATATTTGGAAAATGTACTATGTATCATGATTGAAAATTCTTAGCTTTCTCCAGTAATACTGATATTATTATACTGTGACTCGCCACCCGCCAGACCGAGGCGATTTTGTCAAAAATATTGACAAATCGCGAACTGTCACAGGAATAAAACTGACACGCGTCCGTCCTCCGTAAGCGCCACCGCGCGACTGATTGAGATTGTCCAAGCCGTCATGGCCGATTTTTTTACATTTTTTCAACATAGTAACTAAATAAGACGCAATAACAAAAGTTTGAAAAGTTGTCGACCTAGAAAATACAAAGTCCTATCTATTAGTATATATTTTAAGTGTAAAATGTTAAAAACGAATATATGAGAGTAAAACAAAAAAGCCGTCGACGTACTTCTTTGGGATTTTTTTTTATCGGACAAACTATGCAATATCGTGTTTTGGAAAAGTTGTCGCCCTAGTTAAAGACATTAACTTACTCGTACAATTTTTTATTTGCTAAAATATCTTTTCATTTAGAAGCTATCTGCAAACAAAATAGGTCAAATATCGACAATTTGGGAAATCATGGCCTTAAGTAACTGTACTGGTAGGTACCACATCACATCATAATAAGTTTCTTTCAGCACTACCATAACATTCCGATATAGGTGGATTGCCACCTTTAGGACTCGTCTCGCTTACCACCGCCCACACAATAGTCCAAACTCCATTAAGAATCTCATCTCCAAACCCATCTCTGATCCGGGCTTTAGAAAAAACCAATTTAATTATGAAGACGTTAGAAATTGACAAAGTTGTTGACCCTATTTGCTGTAGGCTACGAAGGTAGGTTCAAATGTAATTAAGAAAGATACTCAATTCAGAAGATTGGCCACTAAATAGGTGAGTTCATAAAAGTCTGAGATTTTTTCGTTAAAGAAAGAATTTAGGGTACCTAGGTATTACCTAAGCCCACTAAAGGACTCTAGACCTACATAAATCTCATGTATTTTTGTACAACATTGGAGATTTATTTTGAAAATTATAAATAACTTGAAAAAATTGAACTGTCTAAGGCGGGAATCGAACCCACGAAATTTATTACATAATTAGAAATGTTTACAGAAGAATATGAATTATGTACCTAGATTGTTGGATGCTTTACCTATAGGTACGTACGAGCTACCTATTTTGGAGGGCGAGTGGGTGTTATTGTGATTACATTCAGCATAGGTCAAATTAGTGACTAAAATAATCATATTGGTCATAATAGGTACAAGAAAATATTTCAGCTTTTATGCTTTTATTTTTTTATGAAAGGTATTCATTGCCCGCCTTTCTACGAATATTGATCAGTTTGTCTTGTTACAGAAAGATTTTATGTCGATTTATGTAAAAACTTTTTTATTCCCGGGAAATGTTACGATGCCCACCATGGGAGTAAAGTCAAAGGGCAATACAATACCGAAACGTATTTTTCTCGACTTATATTGGACATTGATTTAATTTCCCGGAATTTCTGCTGACCTCAAGAACCTTTGTAATGAGGTATCTCCATTTATTACAAACTTACGATTGCCCATAAATGGTTTAAATGTTGAATGTGCTTTAATCGTAAGGTTCCGGCAAGCAAAATAAGGTAATAATACCCACTCTTTTTGTAGATGGGTCATACGAAGGGACTCCCCAGCTTATCTGGCCTGTGTGGGGAGTAGGCCAAATCCTCTATCCCCCATTTGCCTCTGGTAAATTAGAGAGGGTTGTTCCAAGGGTATGTTTCGACATTGCATTGCGGGTTAGTGCTCCATAGTTCCACACCCACTAGTGCAAGCACGGGGTGTTCCCTCTGCCGCATAGAGGTCAGCGCCTTGGGTAGGTACTAAAGCCTGGTCCGTGAGCACGTAGAATTTAGTCCAATGACCCCAAGCTACCCATCCTTATCGCTCGCGCGTAATTATATTGCTTATAGACGCCTTCCGCGGACGTCCCACCATCCTACACGGCGGCCCCCCTTTGAAACTGGTAGGTTTCAATCTTAAATTTAAGTATTATATTTTATCTCGCAAAAAATACTTAACTTTAAGATGAGAGCTAAAAATTAATTGAGAAGTTACCCACAGCACTGAATTATAACTTGTAAAGAGGCTTAGTTTGACGTCTTTACGGTGTCTTCCGTTAGGAAAAAACACCTTAATTACCAAACTTTTCGAGTTCGTTACGGCTGTCTTAATTGGCCTGATATTTTGAGCCTCCGATAACAAAGCTTACGTAACTACGTACTTAATTACTTTTTAATAAGTGTGTTTAATGAGATATTAAGCCCCTAAGCTTATTAAATATGCCTTTTATACGTGGTACGTCGTACTTTTTAACAACATTAATAGTAGTAACTAAATTATAAGCGCTCAAATATTTTGTTACGCTGAACTACTGAGATTGAAATACGTCATAGGTACAAAATAGGTATATTATTCTGTATGTACAGCATTTTATTTACCTATGTGTAACATACACGTACGTACTTGGTACGTATAGGGCTTTGTTTTAGCTACATAATGTTTTTGTCAGTTGATTTCCTTCAAATGATATGGTAAGAGAAAAAAGTGTTTTAGCAGCTTTTTGTAGATCTGCTTAAAAAAGGCCTATAACTAGGCCTCCGCTGGATAGTCTTCTCAACTAGGCCTACTTAAAGGCCTTTAACTTAAAAGCGATTGCATACAAACAAACATAAAAAATCAACATCTGGCGATGATTTGTTATCAACACAGAAACAAGGAAAAAGCATTATATCTAGATTACGTAGCAATCAAAACTTACTTAAAGTGCTTTGTCTCAGAGATCCTGGTCCATATTTTGTCTGAAAACAGGGGCTCTTTTTTAATTAGTTCGGAATTAGAAAAACAATGACAAGGCATTAATTATAAGCACAACTGTAAACTGTAGCAATTAGTTTGGTTCTTTGTGTAACATTTTTGTAATTCTAACAATTTATTGTCAATTTGTTGAACAAACAGCCATACTGAAATTGTTTTTAAATACCAACAATCGCTACAGCATTTGTGAGCATGATATTTGAAGTAAAATATTTATAAAATGAAATTATGTAGGATACTTAGTAAAAGTCTGAGATGTAGGCTCTTCTTTCTGCTTTTATAAATTATTAATAAATTGGAAATTAGTTAAATAATCCTTATAATATGTGACTTTTACCTTTCTAAGGCTGAGTTGCACCACCTAACTTTGACGTTAACTATGGCGTTAACTGGTGCTTTTTATATGGAATTTGACAGATGTTTGTCAAAGTTAAAGTAAGATGGTGCAACCCAGCCTAAGGCTTTCCATGCCAACGAAGAAAGGTGTGTACGATTGTTAAGACTTATACAAAGAATAGAATTAACATAATTCAACAGAAAATCGCATTATTCTCGTATCCGTAGTGACGTACTCATTATATTGAGTCATA